CCGCCAGAGCGGCGAACCAGAATCTAGCGCGTCACTCTGGTGCCCCCAGGGCACCCACACAAGAGCGAACTAGAAACTACATCGCCGCTCTGGTGCCCCGAGAATGCCCAAGAGTACCGCCAGAACGGCGAACTAGAATCTAGCGCGTCACTCTGGTGCCCCCAGGGCGCCCACAAAAGCGCGAACTGGAATCTAGTTCGGCTGCTCTGGTGCCCCAAGAGTATCGCCAGAACGGCGAACTAAAATCTAGTTCGTCATTCTAGTGCCCCCAGGGCGCCCACAAAAGGGCGAACTAGAATCTAGTTCGCCGCTCTGGTGCCCCAAGAGTACCGCCAGAACGGCGAACTAGAAACTAGTGCGTCACTCTGGTGCCCCCCAGGGCGCCCACAAAAAGGCGAACTAGAATCTAGTTCGCCGCTCTGGTGCCCCAAGAGTACCGCCAGAACGGCGAACTAGAATGTAGTGCTTCACTCTGGTGCCCCCAGGGCACCCACACAAGGGCGAACTAGAAACTACATCGCCGCTCTGGTGCCCCAAGAGTACCGCCAGAACGGCGAACTAGAATCTAGCGCGTCACTCTGGTGCCCCCAGGGCACCCACAAAAAGGCGCTCTGGAATCTAGTTCGCCGTCTGGTACCCCAAGAGTACCGCCAGAACGGCGAACTGAATCTAGCGCGTCACTCTGGTACCCCCAGGGCGCCCGCAAAACGGCGAAGCAGAATCTAGTTCGCCGCTCTGGTCCCTAAGAATACCACCAGAACGGGCAACTAGAATCTAATGCGTCACTCTGGTGCCCCCTGTGCGCCCACAAAAAGGGCGAACCAGAATTTAGTTCGCCGCTTCGCCGCTCTGGTGCCCCGAGAATGCCCAAGAGTCTTGCAGAACGGCGAAGTAGAATCTAGTGCGTCACTCTGGTGCCACCAGGGCGCCCACAGAAGGGCGAACTGGAATCTAGTTCGCCGTTGTGCCGCCAGGACGACGAATTAGAATCTAATTCGTTATTCTAGTGCCCCCCGGGCGCCCCCCAAAGGGAAACTATATCCTAGTCCGCCGCTCTGATGCCCCAGGGGTACCGCCAGAACGGCGAACTAAAATCTAGTTCGTCATTCTAGTGCCCCCAGGGCGCCCACAAAAGGGCGAACTAGAATCTAGTTCGCCGCTCTGGTGCCCCAAGAGTACCGCCAGAACGGCGAATTAGACTCTAGTTCGTCACTCTGGTGCCCCCAGGGCGCCTACAAAAGGGCGAACTAGAATCTAGTTCGCCGCTCTGGTGCCCCAAGAGTACCGCCAGAAAGGCGAACTAGAAACTAGTGCGTCACTCTGGTGCCCCCAGGGCGCCCACAAAAGGGCGAACTAGAATCTAGTTCGCTGTCCTGGTGCCCCAAGAATACCGCCAGAACGGCGAACTAGAATCTAGTGCGTCACTCTGGTGCCCCCAGGGCGCCCACAAAAGGGCGAACTGGAATCTAGTTCGCCGTTGTGCCGCCAGAACGGCGAATTAGAATCTAGTTCGTCATTCCGGTGCCACCTGGGCGCTCAAAAAAGGTGAACAATATTCTATTTCGCCGCTCTGATGTCCCAGGGGTACCGCCAGAACGGCGAACTAGAATCTAGTTCGTCATTCTGGTGCCCCAAGAACGGCGAACTAGAATATAGCGCGTCACTCTGGTGCCCCCAGGGCGCCCACAAAGCGGCGAACTAGAATCAATTGCGCCGCTCTGGTGCCCCAAGAGTACCGCCAGAACGGCGAATTCAAATTTAGTTCGTAATTCGTTTGCTCCCGGTGCGAACTGGGATCTAGTTCTCTACTTCGTCATTCTGGTGCCCCCAGGGCGCCCACAAAAGGGCGAACTATAATCAAATTCGCTACACTGGTGCCCCAAGAGTACCGACAGAACGACGAACTAGAATCTAGTTCGTCATTCTGGTGCGTCTTCGTCGTCGTCTTCTCCTCTCTCCCTCCCGGAATGGCCGGCGGCGCCCTCGTCGTCGTCGACGCGGAGGAGCAGAAGGAGGAAGAGGAGGAGGAGGAGACAGGAGGAGGAGGAGGAGGAGGAGGAGGAGGAGGCTGAGGAGGAGGGAAGGAGGAGGAGGAGGAGGAGGAGGAGGAGGAGGAGGAGGAGGACAGAAGGCGAGCACCCGTTGGACTATTCGCCAGTTGTTCAGGTTCAGGAGGAGGACGCCCCCCCGCGCGAGCCCGGCGATTGGGGCGAGCAGCCCCCAAGATTGCATCGCGCCCTGGCCCGGCCCTCGGCGAATCCAGCCGTGGCGACGACGGCCTGTCAGGAGCCCCGATCAGAGCGAGCACAGCCTGCCTCCGGTGGGCGGTGGGCCCTGGGACCTTCAAGACGCCCGCCATCTTCCGTCCTTCCCCCTCCTTATCCTCCCTCCTCGCGATCATCGTCATAATCCTCCTTATACCTCCCTCCTCCCTCGTCGTCCTCATCTTCCTGGTCCTCGTCCGTCCTCCTCGTCCTGCCTCCTCGTCATTCCCCCCCTTCGTCCGCCTCCCTCCGAACCTCCAACGTCGATCAATTCCCAATTCTCGATCGATCCTCGATCCTCGGTCGGACCTCGGTCCTCGACCCTCGACCGAACTCCCATCCTTGATCCACCCTCGATCCTCGGTCTTCGATCGAACCTTGATCCTCGATCGAAACTCGACCTTCGTCGAGCCTCGATAGACCCTGGATCCTTCACGGATCCTCGAGCCTCGATTCTCGATCCCCCGCCATCCTCGATCTTCGATCTAACCTCGATGATCGATCCTCCTCCGCCTTGTCCTCACCATCCCCCCTCATAATCCTCCTCACTCCTCCTCCTCCTCCTCCTCGCCCCCTCCTCCTCCTCTTCCTCCTCCTCCTCCTCCCCCTCCTCCCGTTCATCTTCGTTCCCCCTTCGCCCCCCCTTCTCCTCTTCCTGCTCCGCATCGTCATCCTTGTCGTCCTCCGCGCCCCCCTCCACTCCCTCCTTTGTCTCCTCCTCCTGCTTCTCCTCGACCTCCTTATGAATGGTTGTGCGGGCCTGGTGGCTTTTTAGAGAAGGGTGGGCAGGGGCCTCACCGAGGCGCGCGCCGCGTGGGAGAATGACTCATCCTCATGCTGCTGCTGCCGCTCCTCTGCCTCCCCCTCCTCCTCCTGCTCGCTTTCCTTGTGCCGGGACAACTGCGGAGGCAAATATTTGTCAAGAGCTTGATTAAGTATTTGTCAAGTGGTTGATTCGTTTTCGAGGGGGTTGAAACCTCGACCCTCGGAATTCGATCCTCGAAGCTCGATTCTCGGAGTTCGATCCTCCCGGGATTCTGCTCCTCCGCCGCGCCGGCGAAGACGACGAGAACGACGATCAACATCGCCAGCAAGCACGATCAACTCCAAAAAAACGTGCGAAATCAACATATGTTTTCGTTCCCGCCCTCCCCCAAAACACCGCGCTCTGATCTGAGCCCTTGGTGCCCGAGTTGCTGGCGCTGGCAGCGGATGCCCGCCAGACCCCTGCCTTCATTGGAGGGCATGATTTGCTTCAGTTCGCGGTTGAAGATAACACGCCTCCCATTCTTTTTTGTTCGACCTGCGGGGGGTATGCCACGGTGTCTACGGGATCCAAAGGCCTACGAAAGAGCTGTGGAGGGTCCCAGCAGGCCTTGGTTGACCCAGGCAGGAAGAACTCTCGGGCTGTCTGCAAGGGCAAGCGCCCCAACAGGCCTCTCAAACTGGGCTCTTGGCGAACTCCTGGGGCTTGGGCGCGGGGGCTGGTTGGGGGGGAGTCGGAGTCTAAGACGGCCCAGAAGAGAGAAGGGGGTTTTCCCAGGGCCACTTCGGACGCACCTTCACGTGCAATTTTGTGCCTGGCAGATGTCCTGCAAGCGTTTGGACTTAATGAGTTTGAACGCGCTGAATTGGGACCGAAGCTACAGGAGCGAGCCCCAGACAATGATCTGGAGGAAGAAGAACTGGGCGGTTAGATACCCAGGGGGGGCCCTGTCGTTGGCCCCTGGCAGGTCTTTGGCCTTCCTGCCAGGGTGACAAAAAGTTCCCCTCTGATGGGCCCCCCTAGGTTTTTTGGACCGTCGGACTTTCTCCCCCCCCCCCCTTTCCCTTCAGTGGCGTGCGATCCTCCTCCTCTTCCTCGTACCGCTTACCGATCCTTGCGCATGAATTCTCTAACAGGTAGCGCTGTGGCCATGCCACTACATGGTTACGTCCCTGGGGGGCTCCAGATCTTCTGGCTGGGGCCCCACTCTTTATACCCAGGAGGCAACTTAATCTCTTCAAGGGCACTGATGGCCCTCCCCCCTGTGTTTGGGGATGGGGCGACTGGCATTGAAGGGCTTCCCCAAAATGCACGGCTCCGGCTCCGGCTCCTCCGCGTGCACGGCACCAGAAAAAAACAGGGTACCCCATGAACCTGTGCTTTGGGTCCAAACGCAAAGGGCACCCACGGCACGGGATTCTGAGCCACTGCAGCCTCGGACTGCTGCAGTGGGGCGCCCGTGGCAGGTTTCACAAGAAACTCTTCTGGCTCCAGCTAGCACTCTGTGTTCAGAGGTGACCACGGCAACTTCGCTCTCTTCCTTCCGACCCTCCGCCCGAGCCTTGGCCTCATGCTGCCTATCTTGCCTCGCAGAGGCTCCATGCATATGTGGGGCGTGCTCCACCATGTGGGCAGCCACACGAATCAAACGGGAGTGCGCAGCAATGGCCCGCGCATCTTTTCGTGCGACGGCCTGGATGTCTTCTGCAGGCAACTGGGCTGAGCGGGCACCTTCCTCCGCGAAGCTGTCGGCTAGCTGGTTGACCAGCCAGTGCTGCGGAGGGGCTCCTGCTTGTTGCGCCTGCTCTACTGACATGTTAGATTTAATCGTAATGGCCTCGATCGGCCGATCCCCTGCCACACTCCAAAAATCGTTCCAAAGCCTACAGTCGCTGTCGCGACTGGCCCTGGGTCCCTTTGAGAATCCCGAGACCATGCTCTGAACATCTACTTCTGGCAACAATGGGCTCTCGGTGATGCGGGCTGCGTTGGTAGCCGCTGTGAGCTCTGCTATTAGGACGGTCTGCTTCCAGTGGTTCACTGGGCCGCGCGCCCAAGCCACGAGCTCCCATCCTTGAACTACTGCAAAGCCCCATCCACACCGACGCAGGCGAAGATCTTCGTGGCATTATCCTCCAGGCCCGTCCGCCGCGACCACCGTGCAGGCCCCAACAGGCACTGGGGATTCTCCGAGAGGATTCCTCCTAACACCACTAGCCAATTAACTGGTCTGGTAGCGTGCTGGTAGGTCCAGAGCACGGGGGCCAGGCCCCTGAGCCAGAAACACGGGGCCTCGTCAGCTTCTCGTTGGGCCTGAAACTGGAGCTTTCAGGGTAATCCTTCGATCTGAGCGTTGGCACGGCACTCCCAAAACTGATGAAACCGCGTTTCCTGTGAGGTGGGGCGCCTGGGGCAAGCTGGGCTGGTCCAGGTAGGCCCACAGGGTCTGTGGGGCGCCTCAGGCTCCGCCGCGGGCAACCCGGGGGGGCGGGGGCCTCCCGGGCCTGTGTTTCCTCCTCCTAGGCCCGCCTGAGCATGCCTTCAAAATCGAACCGCTCCTCCGTTCCCTCCGCGGGGGCCTCGCCGCCTCGCCGCCAAATCTGCGGCTGGCTGGCCGTGGCGCTCCTGCCGGGGTCATTCAAAAGGCTTCAAGCTCGTTGGACTTGGCATTTTTGGTTTGAGGAGACGGGGCGAGCCTGATGCGTGTGCAAATCTGGGCCAACTTCCGGCAATGTGTCATTGTAGTGCTTGGCCGCTGCAAGCCGAGCCTGCTGGTCTAAAGCACCATGGCATTCATTTTCGAGCACGCGTTCGGGATCATCTTTCCCTAGGTCAATAGATTCCCCTCTTGGTTGCACCAATGCCGCGGAGACTGCAAGGACAAACCTAGATCCTGCAGGCCGCAACTGTGGCTGTGAGTGGGCCCTTGGCTCTGCTCCATTTGCTGTTGCGCGTCTGCAACGCAATCCAGGCCTTCTTCCGCGCTATCTCGAGCGCCTGCCCGCGGTCCTCCGTGAATCGCGGCAGGGGCGCCAGCCATTCCTTAGAGAGTCGCAACCTGCCAAAAACCATTGGGTCCTGATGTGCCGAAGGGGAGGTGGCTCGAATCGCGGCGGTCGCGCGCCCACCTCCCTTTCGGCCTATCATCCCTGATATCTGTGCTCCCAGCTTCAGCGGCACTGAGGGTGCTAAGCCTTGGGCCTGCGGCCCCCATGCCGCCTGCGGGATGTACCCAGTCTCGGTCAGGCCGGTGGCGTTCCTGGCTGCCTTGACTACTCGCTTGATCATCATGCCTCGGGCGGCACTGGCACGCTGTCGTTTTTGTCACTGATCGCGACTTTGCGATGGACGTGCCATCCACTCCGAAGTCCTTGACGAATTGACTAGTCTTTAGTGTGGCCCCGACCTCCAGTAGCCTAGCTGGGACAGCCTTGGCTATGCGGGGTGGGTTGGGGACTAACGTGCTCTTGGCCGAAATGCGGGGGCCTTGCTCCTCGCTGTGGCTGGCCAACGCTGTCGCCGCCCTCGTTGTCTTTTCAACGACGTCTCGCTCCGTGCCCATGGTCGCCTGCGCAACATCACCTACCCAGCTCTGGGAATGAACTGGGATGTGCGGGGCGTGCAGCTCCGCAAGCATTTGCCATAGCGCCAGCCTGGACATGTCCACACTCTGGCTGCATCCTGCTAGGGTGCCTTTTGACGCTATTGCTGGCCGAGCTACTACTCCATTCCCCTCGACAGGGCCTCGGGCCGAAATGGAGACTGAGCGCCAGAAGCAAGTGCGTGAGCGGGCATCCTACCCTCCCCCCTACCTGCCAGACTTGCTGCAACTTTCCCATGCCCCAGGGAACATCACGCCACGAGAAACCTTGGATCGCTAGACCACGCGCGATATGTCGCCTGCGTGAGTGTGATCGGTCTGTCCGGCTCCTCAGATGCGTACCTCAGCTGGACCACATTGACTAGAATCTTGGCGGGGCATGCTAGGGAGTGCTCGACGAGATAGAGGAGGCAGGTGCGGTGGAGGATCCCTTCTTGCGGCAGCTGGCTCCACCAGCGCGGATTGGTTCTGTCAAATCCCATCCCAATGACTGGCCTAAATACTTTGAGCAATTCAGCCACCTCCTGTGAGGTGACTGGCTCCACCGTGCAGCTGTGCCTTCGAGCCGCAGCGCGGATGTTCGACCACCATGCCTGCTGTTGCGGTGGTTGCTGCTCCACTTGCCAAAACGGGGGCCAATACTCTGTCTTGCGCTGTATGTTAAGGGGCGGGAAATTTGATGGGCTCAACAGCCTGGTCCTTCTCAGTTGAGAGGTTCTTATCAGGGGGTCCCCACAGCTTGTTGTGCCGATGCAGCCCTCCTGCCCCTCTCTTGAGGCTGGCCTGGATCCAGTCCTTAAAACGTAAACGTTGCGACCAGCTGTTCAAGCGGTTCCGCTCAAGGTTTTGGACCATGCTGTCCAAGTCTCTGATTGCTCTAGCTAGCTGCTCGGTGGTGGCCTGTGCAAAGCATGGCAACTGGTCCCCCAGCTGGGTTGAAAAAGTCTCTGTCTAGATTATCCTCGAGATCCGCTGGCCCCGCTATGAGGTCCTCTATCAGCTTGCCACTGGCTTCCACCGTCCCAAGAACCAGCCCCCCCCCCCCCCCATCGTACCCTTGCTAAGCATGACCTGAAGCTAATGACTCCTCGCCTGAAGGGCCGACCACTGGGAGAGGGAAGTGGTTTCAGCTAACCACTGGGAGTGGGAACTGGCAGTTGACCTAGCCTGGTCTCTGGATAAGCTCCTCTGAGCGCAGCCGTTCCTCCTTGCTCAGTCTGTCTGCCCAGGAGTAGGCCCCCTGCAACCACAGGAAACTCCATATTCACTTGCTCTGGGCCCCCCCACCTGGCGTGCGCGAGTGCTGCATGCTGCGTGCCAAGCTCCGAGAACTTGGTGCTCGGCGAGGTTCGCTGGCCTCCCCTGATCCGTAAACGGGGCGCCGCTCTGCAACCCGACGCGGGGGCATCGGCCGCCCCTCCGTCGAGGGCCCCGCGGTGCAGGTCTCCAGTCCCATGGGCTTCGACCACCAGCATGTCTGCGGCCATGGCCCCCTGGAAATGCGTGCCTCCCGTGCTCGCCGGGCACCTTCCCTCGCCTATCCCCCCCCCTGGCCTCTGCTGACGCCTGCCAGTGAGCCCAAGGATCTTGGGGAGTGCGTGGGGCATGTATGGAAGTGCTCGTTCAAGTGTGCCGCCGTAGCCGCTCTGTGGCCTCGGACTGAAAGAAACCTGCCACCGCATTGACTCGAACTTCCTCAGGCGTGTTGTCGTTCCACTGAGCCATGATGTCTCGGATGCGCTTGCGGGTGTCCTCGTCGCCTTGGGTTGGGATCTCAGCTCCTCCCATGACTGCGTCGTCGGAAGGTTTAGCGCCAGCGCCAGCAACACCAGGAAGGACACCACGTGTTGCTGCCGATGCTCCACCGCCTGGCCGAGGCCGCATCGCCTCGACCTTCTCCATGGTCTCCTTGACGGCCTTCGCGATGGGGTCGAGCACCCCTGCGCCAGCTGGGACGTCTCCTGCCGCCGCCCTGCCCTCGTCGGATGGCCCCGCCAGCTGCTTGACCAGCTGGGCCAACTTGGCGACCTGGTCCCAGAGCTCACCAGGGAAAGCTGCGTCTGTCGGTGGTGCACTGGAGCCGATACGGGTGGCGGCCTCCTGCTTGGCGTTGTCGAGGTCTTCCCGCGCCTGCTGGAGCACCTGCTGGGCCTCCACCACTTCCATGACTGCTTCGCGGGCTGCCTGTTGTGCTCTCTCAGCCTGCGGGCTGGCTTGGAGCACGCGATGCTGGGCTCGAGCCACGGCCTGCGGAATATCTGGATTGGATTTGGGATCCTCCATACCTGCTGCCCTAAGCCGTCGACGATACTGGATCTTGTCCCCCTGGCTTCTGGAGAGCACCCCCGCGAGCAGTTCAAATTGGTCCTCTGGCATGAGCACCCAAGACTCCATGTGGTTGTCATCGAGCTGCTGTGCTGGGGCACTCCTACCGCTTGATGCCTGCTGCTTGCTCCCGAACTTGCTGGTGCCGCTCTGCACCCAGTGCCCAAGCCCACCAGCCCACGCTCCACGTTGTTGGCGCCGCGGTCCACTGGCTGGGGCTCCTCCATGCGCTGGGTTGTAGCCTCCACAGTTGAAACAACGATTCTTGTCTCCTCTGTTCCACGCATTGCAACCGCGGCATCCCCAGCCCACCATGGTTTGAGCCAGGGAGCTATCTGGTTACGGGAGAAACGAATCGTTGTTGCATTGGCGGGCGAACGCCACTTGCCAAAAAGGTCCTCGTCTGACCAAGGCCAACGAGGTGTGACTTCGGGGGCCGTCAACTCCCCCGCGCCAGTAAGGTCAAGTCTTGTGCCAAAGCACTCCGGACTTGAGCCTAAATGGCTACGGCCCCCTCCTCCTCCTCCTCCTTCCCCTCCTGGGTGGAGCGTCGACCGGAGGAGGAGGAGGAGGAGGAGGAGGAGGAGGAGGAGGAGGAGGAGGAGGAGGAGGAGGAGGAGGAGGAGGAGAAGGAGGAGGAGGAGGAGGAGGAGGGGGAGGAGGAGGAGGAGGAGGAGGAGAAGGAGGAGGAGGGGAAGGAGGAGGAGAAGGAGGAGGAGGAGGAGGACGGGGAGGAGGAGGAGGAGGGGGGGTGGAACGCCGACGTGGAATCGGCGATCGATCGCCGATGGATCGGGGACAGGCCCCCGACAGCGCATCCGCGCGTTCCTAGGCGGGGTGGAGCCATCAGACCCCTGTCGGCGAGACATGGGCGATTCGGGGTCGATGCGTCCCCACCATATGCCAGCTCCGCCCTGTCGTTGCCCCCGATCTTGGAGGGGGGTCCGGACAGTGCCGAAATCGGCAGGCTTTTCCTGACAGCCGACAGCCCCAAGCATCCGACGGCGCGAGATGTTCACAGCGTGGCTCCCCAAAGGCCCAAAGGTTTGGACCCTTTCCCAACGACAAGTTTTTCACCCCGGGTCGTCTTTTGACGGTCCCGGGGCTCAGCGCATGAAAACGGTAAGTGACCACGTCGCGCCGACTGCTTCGGTGCTTCTCCTCTTCTGGGGGTCGGCGGAATAGCGTGAACCTCTTGATGAGATCGTGTCAAGATGAACCGGGAATATCAGAGAACCAGCGGCTTCAAAGGATGCGTCGGGCGCCGCGGCTGGTTCAGCGCGCTCTGGAACGCACGTTCTCAGAGCGTTCCAGACCGCTCTGGAGCGATTGAATCTTCGTTTGAGGCCTGCCTGATGCACGCAGCTCGGAAAACGGGCCAGGACGTACCAGCAGATGGGCTGGGAACCGGTTTTGAGTGGGTGCTGGCCGTGGGGGGGGGGGCCGTGTGGCGGGGCGGGCTGGAGACAGGGCAAGGGGGCTTCATCAGAAGGGCCCGGAGGCTTCCAAGCATGCCTCCCAAGTGGCAGACCCAGGGGCTTCTGGGAAGGCTTCGCGGGGGCCCTCCCCAGGGAGGACGGAAAGACTCGTGTCGTCGGATGCATGGCGGCGTCGCGGCGACAGCGCTGTCCCGCAGGGAGCTGCCGGGCAGGGAGGCGAGGCGGCCCACCCCCTGGGCCTGGTAAGAGAACTCGGTCACGTCCTTGCCGTCCCAGCCTCCGCTCACAGACACTCGCCTGGGCAGCCAGCACCTCTCCTCTTCCCTCCCTTCCTCCCTCCCTTCTCCTCCTACCGAGAAGGTGGGAGGGAGGAGGAGGAGGAGGAGGAGGAGGAGGAGGAGGAGAAGGAGGAGGAGGAGAAGGAGGAAAAAGAGGATCGTGGCAACATCCGACGGATCCACATGCCAGGCCCCGGGCTCGGGAGGAGGATGAGAATCAGGAGGAGGAGGAGGAGGAGGAGGAGGCTGGAGCGTCTGAGGGGACCGCGTGTCATCCCGAACTACTGCCGCTGAGGACAGGGCCTCCTGTGGCGCTTCCCGCCGAGGGGCAGCTCGACGGCTTGAAGAGGCGCGCGAGCGAGCAAGCGAGCGTCATCCATGCTAAAGGGGAGGCAGAGACTCTTACTCTCTTGGTGCGCTAACCAGTACAACTGGAAGTAAGACGCCTTATTCTTCAAAGCCTCAGGACGGGGGTGGATAAGTCCAAGAGCCAACAGGGGGTCAAAAAACGGTGATCCAAAAGGGGGCGCCAAAAGAAAGTGAAGGAGGAGGCGGATGACGATGACGATAACGATGACGATGACGATGATGATGATGATGATGATGAGGAGGAGGAGGAGGAGTAGGAGGAGGAGGCAGATGAGCAGGAGGAAAACGAGGAGCACCAGGAAGGAGGAAAAGGATGACGAACAGCAGCAGCAAGGACTGGAGTGGAAAGAGCGGGAGGAGGACCAGGCGGAGTCGGAGGGGGGGAAAGGAGGGAGTGACAACGACAAGGAAGGACTCGGATACAGAAGCGTGGCCCGCGCTGGGGGGAGAGCGCCATTCTGAACGACGGGAGCAGGGCCGCGATCCTAAACTGAGGCCGACGACGCAGCGGGAACACGATTTTGGAAGGCCCAAGAATGTTCGGATTGGAAAAGAGCGCGTAAGAACAACAAATCGTGCACATTCTGTGTGAGAAGAACAATGTGCGGACGGAGGGCGGACACTCTCAGCACAGACTCGGGGGAAACAGGAGCGTCATATTCATGTTGTGCAGCTGTGAAGGAGGAGGAGAAGGAGAAGCAAGAGGAGGTGCTGAGAGGTTCTCGGAGGTTCCAGGGGGTGTCCTGGCAATCCTCTCCAGTTCTTCCCCCGCATCACTCCTCCTGCCTGCTCCCGCGCCTCCCTCCTTATTCTGAGTTTCTTTGTTGTTGCTGCTCCTCTCCCCTCTTTCGCTCCCTACTCGTCGATCCTCGAAGATGGATTGTTTCGGGAAAGAGGCGTCTGGAAATCTGTGGGAGCCTCAGGGGACCTTTGGAGATCTCGGGATATCTCCAGGGACCTCCCTCCTGCTCCCCTTAGTTCTGGGTCTCCTCCTCCTCCTCCTCGTCCTGCTCCTGCTCCTGTCGCCTCCCTCACTCGTTCGCCCACGCCTCTTCCTCCTCATCCCTCCGCCTTCCCCTCTTCTCTTATTCAGTCTGCCCCGAAGCAAGATGGACGCATCGGGAGCTGTAAGAGGCCGAGGCTGGCAAGCCGAACCCAATGCAGTCAGGTAGCCTTGTCATGCCAGCGGGAAGGACCATTTTGACGATGATAGGAGGAGGAGGAGGAGGAGGAGGAGGAGGAGGAGAAAAGGAGATAATGATGCGAGGAAGAGGGGGAGAGGAGGAGGATGCGGACGACGAGGGGGAACCTATGAGTAAGGGAACGAAGACGACGATGAAGACTATGCATACGATAAAAGGCGAGGATCGGAGGGGGAACCATGCAAGCATGAGGAAGAAGAACGGGAGGACGAGGATCGGTAAACGGGGGAGAATGAAGACATTGATCGGAGGAGGTGGAGGAGGAGGCAGATGAGGAGAAGGAGAAGGAAAAGCACAAAGGGAGGGGAGGAGCAGGAGGAACGGTCAACACACGCCCCCGCTGAGCCAGTCCGCAGAAGGGGTCAATCAGAAGTTTAAGCGGCTAAGTATGGAAAACACACAGTCGGGGCCATAGCGACCTCGACACAGCTGACAGATGCTGACCGTGGCTGGACCATCTGGTGAATGGGGGGGGGCTCAGGACGGAAGAAGAAGAAGGAGAGGATGATCCGCGTACGTAAGCCCAAGATGCCTCAACGCTGTTGCAGTAAACCCTCACTCCGCCATCCCTCCTCATGAGCCCCTGGAAGATTTTATGGTCACTTTGGGAAGTGGTCCATTAGAAATTAACCGTCTGAAAATCTGCAATCGTACCAGAACGCCGCTCCTGTGACTTCAACGTCGCGGATCAACGCAATTGCTGCGTCCTGGCAGTTCATAATTGTGCCAAAAACCCACTCCTGGGACTTTAATACCACAAAGCAGTGTGACTGCTGCGTCCCCACAATCCCAGATCGTGCCAGAACACCATTCCTGGAACGTCGCCAATGCGAACCCTTGAAACTGCTCTCGACCTTCAAGGCAACTGTGTGCGGCGCTAGGACGAGAACCACGATTTTGAAAGAAACCACCCTCCATCCGCGAACTGATTGTAAACTTTCAAGGCGAATCTGCGCGGCGCTAAAGCGAGCACAACATGTTGAACACTGCCCGCCCTCCATCCGCGATAAAACTGCTGCAAGCCTTTAAAACGAATGTACGCGGCGCTATAGCGAGAACCGCATCGTGAAAATGGCCCATCCTCCATCCCTGCAGCTGTTGCAAAGTTCAAGCTTTGGGGTCATACATGGCGAGGAAGTTTTATGCGAAACGCCCGGCCCGCCCTACCGACGCGCCTGAGGGTGCGACGGGGAGGAGTGTTATATATATATATATATATATATATATATATAAAAAAGGGACAGGGGTGGCTGAGGAGGAGGAGGAGGAGGAAAAGGGGGGGGGGGCGACGGGGAGGGGGGAGGGCGAGGAGCGAACGTCGCATAGGGGGGAGGGCGAGGAGGAGGAGGAGGAGCAGGAGCAGCAGGAGGTGCAGCAACAGGAGGGGAAGGCGAAGCAGGAAGAGGAGGCAACAAGGAAAAGGGTAAGGATGAGGAAAATGCGAAATATGATGACGAAGTAGGGGGTCGGATGGGGGATGATTATGATTATGATGGTGACGACAACGGTGATGGTGATGGTGGTGGTGGTGATGATGATGATGATGGTGGTGATGATGATGATGATGACGATGACGATGACGATGGCGATGGCGACGATGATGACGATGACGATCACGGTGACGATCACGAGGATGCTGACGATGTTGATGATGATGATGATGACGATGATGATTATGATGATGGTGGCGATGGTGGTGATGGTGATGATGGTGAGAGTCCCTCTTACATGGAACGGGCGCAGTGCACACCGTCCACATGCAACAGGGGACGGGAAGGGCAACAGGCGTCCTGCCGCCCCGACCTCCGATATCGAATAAGCCCTCAAGCCCGCCGCCCAAACGGCCTTGTAACAGCAGCCGAACTGATTCTCAGGCCTGTAGCTTGCCCTTATCGAGGGGAGGCCATGCTTGAGGAAGGCTTGCCCCTGGCCTATGGCTCACCCCTGCATAAGGGAGGCCAGCCCAATTGGGCGGGTCAGAACCGTATGATGCTGCTGATGATGATTATGCTGATGATGAGGATGATGATGAGGATGATGATGATGATGCTGATGCTGATGCGGATGCTGATGATGACAATGACGATCATGAGGATGAAGCTGATGATGATGATGCTGATGTTGATGATGATGTTGATGATGTTGTTGATGATGGTGATGCAAATGGTGGTGCTGATGACGAGGATGCTGGTGATGATGTTGGAGGAGGAGGAGGGGAAACAGGGTGATGATGATAACTATGATGATAAATATGACGCTGATGACAATGATGATGATGATGGTGATGATGATGATCATGATGATGAGGATGATGATGATTAGGATGATGCTGATGATGACGATGATGATGATGATGACGATGATGATGATGATGATGATGATGATGATGATGATGATGATGATGATGATGATGATGATGATGTTGATGATGGAGGAGGCGGACGACGACGACGGGGTGAATAATATCACGGGAGGGGAGGGGAAGCTGGCAAGAGGGTGCGGAGGGGGAGGGAATATGCCAGCAGGGGCTGAAAATGCAGGACGAGAACTGGCCGGAGCTGGACAAAGCGGTGGGGACAGCCAGAGCCAGACATTACGGCTTGACTGTGGTCGCTCGGGCTCATTGGACAGAAGGTGGAGTGGCGTGCTCCTCCTCCTCCTCCGCCTCCTCATGTTACTCCTCCTCCTCCCCTCCTCTTCCTCTACCTCGATCCTCCTCCTCCACCTCGATCCTCCTCCTCCTCATCCTCCTCCTCCTCTTCCTCCTCCTCCTCCTCCTCCTCCTCCTCCTACGCACTCTCCGTCTGCCTCGATTCCTCCAAGCAGAGAAGGATGGATGAGGATGAGGATGAGGATGAGGAGGATGAGGAGGGGGAGGAGGAGGAGGAGGAAGAGAAGACGGAAGAAGAGGACCAATGTTTAGGTTCATATTTTCGAACCCCTGGGGCCACTGGAGGTAATCAGAGGTGTCCGGGTACCTCCAGAGATCCTCCTCCTTCTTCTGACTCCTCCTCCTCCTCCTCCTCCTCCTCCTCTTCCTCTTCCTCCTCCTCCTCCCCCTCCTCCTCCTCCTCTTCCCTTTCCCCTTCCTGCACCTCCTCCTCCTCCTCCTCCTCATCATCATCATCATCATCATCATCATTCTCTCCCCCCCCCCCCCGCGCGCGTGACAGGAGGCGGAGGAGGGGGAGGGGGAGCTGAGGGGGAAGTGGACGGGAGGGGGGGGGAAGAAAGAGGAGGCACCTGGACAGCGTGGAAACGGGAGGCAACAAAGGATGCAATTTTTACTCCGCTCGGCCCTGTGCCGTGCTGGAGAGGTGCCTCGTCACGACTGCAGACCCTCACATAGGAGACGTAACTGAGGCCCAATTCTGTCTGGCGACGGCGCGCCAAGGGGGGCGGCGCGGGGGGCCCTGTTTGCAAGGGGCCCGATGCTTCGAATGACTCT